ATTGGAACCTTTCCCCTACCCGTTTAGCGATGATTCCGTATAGCGAGGGTTAATCCGGAACGGATTAACCTCGCTATATGGGGCACCACTGTACATTGGAACAAAAAAAGTTAAAAATCTATAAAAAATATCTTCAGATTGGAATGGACAGGTCAATTCAGCATGCACAGGGCTTGAAAAATACACTTGTCTACTTGTCTGTGACAAGTGAAAACTGCTGCTCGACGAGTCACAGCTCCCTCCCTGCCTGCCTCCTTCCCCCTCCGATTTTTTTTCTCTGTCTAATCCTGCAGTCCTCCCGTTCCCCTTACAAAAGGAAAACTGCCCTCTTCTTACGAGAAAAGAGTTTGAGCAGCACACAGAGATATAGCTCTGCAGGAGAATGTAGAGTAGTCCCATGCTGGAGAATATGGAGATTCTCTGCTGCCAATTTCAACCGAACAAGGACACATCCTGGGGTGGGAGGGAGCCGTGGCTCCTTAAGTTCATGTTTAGAGACTGAAAGCTTAGATGACCTTATGATGGTGAATCTAAATGGACCTCCACTACCACAGTTTAACCCTACTAATCGTCGTTTAGTCGTGTCTGACTCTTCGTGATCCCATGGACCAGAGCACGCCAGGCCCTCCTATCTTCCACTGCCTCCTGCAGTTGGGTCAAATTCATGTTGGTTGCTTCGCAGATACTGTCCAGCCATCTCATCCTCGGTCGTCCCCTTCTCCTCCTGCCATCACACTTTCCTAACATCAAGGTTTTTTTCCAAGGAGTCTTCTCTTCTCATGAGATGGCCAAAGTACTGGAGCCTCAGCTTCAGGATCTGTCCTTCCAGTGAGCACTCAGGGTTGATTTCCTTTAGAACTGATAGGTTTGTTCTCCTTGCAGTCCAGGGGATTCTCAAGAGCCTCCTCCAGCACCACAATTCAAAGGCATCAATTCTTCGGCGGTCTGCTTTCTTTATGGTCCAGCTCTCACTTCCATACATCACAACAGGAAAAACCATAGCTTTGACTATTCGGACTTTTGTCGGCAAGGTGATGTCTCTGCTTTTCAAGATGCGGTCAAGATTTGTCATCGCTTTCCTCCCAAGAAGAAGGCACCTTTTAATTTCAGGGCTGCTGTCTCCATCTGCAGTGATCATGGAGCCCAGGAAGATAAAATTTGACACTGCCTCCATATCTTCCCCTTCTATTTCCCAGGAGGTGATGGGACCAGTGGCCATGATCTTAGTTTTTTTGATGTTGAGTTTCAGACCATTTTTTCGCTCTCCTCTTTCACTCTCATTACAAGGTTCTTTAATTCCTCCTCACTTTCTGCCATCAGAGTGGTATCATCTGCATATCGGAGGTTGTTGATATTTCTTCCGGCAATCTTAATTCCGGCTTGGGTTTCTTCCAGTCCAGCCTTCCGCATGATGTATTCTGCATATAAGTTAAATAAGCTGGGGGACAATATACAGCCTTGCCGTACTCCTTTCCCAATTTTGAACCAATCAGTTGTTCCATGACCAGTTCTAACTGTTGCTTCCTGTCCCACATATAGGTTTCTCAGGAGACAGATAAAGTGGTCAGGCACTCCCATTTCTTTAAGAACTTGCCATAGTTTGCTGTGGTCCACACAGTCAAAGGCTTTCGCATAGTCAATGAAGCAGAAGTAGATATTTTTCTGGAACTCTCTGGCTTTCTCCATAATCCAGCGCAAGTTAGCAATTTGGTCTCGAGTTCCTCTGCCTCTTCGGAATCCAGCTTGTACTTCTGGGAGTTCTCAGTCCACATACTGCTGAAGCCTACCTTGGAGGATTTTGAGCATAACCTTGCTAGCATGTGAAATGGCTACTAAAGCCATCGATAAATGGTACTTCAGTGATAAAACTACCAGGCATGTTCAAGGACACAAGTGCAACACCTCTGACAGCAGTGCATTGTCTACTAAGATGACACAGGTGAATACCGTGTACATAATACAATTTATTTTGAGTTTGTACGCATTGTTATGTAGAAATAAAAGTGAACAAGTGCCTAGTTTAAATTTGTTAACATAAATTGCAGGGCTATAGTTCGATCATGTTGACTGGTGAAATTTTTGACTGAGACATTCTAAAAATTTTCAAACCCTGAGAATGCAGCTGGTCTGAAAAAGGAAACCTTATGTAGAGAACTATCAGAAAATTATTAGGAAAGGAATGAAGGATAAAATTGCCAATGCTGTAATACCTCCACATAAATCTATGGTGGAAGCCTGCTTTGAATACTCTTCCAGTCATTAAATCATATGTGAAGTTTTTTAGCTTAGGAAAAAATAAATAAGGTGAGAATGTGCAGGAATGCACCCACCTGCTCTGTACTCAAATAAAGGGCCTATAAATCAGATCAGACCTATCCTGTTCAGCTTAGAAACATTCTGATCTCATCTGTCCCCAGACCTGTGCATTTCCAAATGTTTCTTTTAAAAAATTACAACGAATGGGAGGGAACACAAACATTTATCACCTGAGGAGAGGCCATGCAGCAACTTGTGTACCTAACCACTCAGAACCCATACAACAGTGTTCCATGTTACAATGTTTACCTTTCTCCTGCCTAACAAAGCAACAGGATTTCAGCCAAGATTTAGAGCTTAGGATCAAGTGAAAATGTGTGCCATAGCAACAAATTTCCACACTGCATATGTTATATACAATAATCATCTAAGGTCTAGAATAAGACTGACATGAGCTAATGAGGCTACTTATGAATGCAGAAGAAAATGTTATAGTATGTTGCTATTCCTGCTTGCCGAGATTATTATGGCTGATGTTCACCAGATCATCTCTTGCAGAAACATGCTGATACAAGCCAGCGAGACAAGAAGTTCAAGTTTCAATATTATGCTATGGTGAAGGCAGAGCACTTCCGATATCAAGGTATTCAAACACAGAAGTTTGTTGCCATTAACTCTGACATCAAATGGCAAGGTACAGATGACTATACAGCAAACCTGTGTGTAATGTTGCTAAAAAAAAACCTAAACTGTTTAACAGCCATTCACTGTCATGTTAACTATGCATCTTTGAGCAGCAGCAACAGCAGCACTGTGGCTCTTCAGTTTGACCATTATTTGCAGCTTACCTTTAGGGCTTCTATGACAAGATCCCTGGCTTCTAATTCACCTTCAAGAATGCTAAAGAGTGTCAATAGTTCAGGTTTGCTGAGTTTTTCAAGATTCATCTTGAACACCTAGAAAAAGAAACAGGAAGTTTAACTAGATATTGTTTCCAAACAGACATTGAACCTTCTTTTACAATGCAATAAAATACATATACACAGCAAATGTAAAGTTTCCATGCTTTGAGATGAAATGCCTAACCACCAAAGCCACACAGAGGTACTGCTATTTTACTATATAGTTGTAACTATTTTCAAACAAACAACTGTACACCTTTCCATATAGGTTCACAAACATACACATAGCCATAAAGGATGAGTAAAATAGTGTGGGGAAAATTCAGAAGGTGATGCTGGGGGACTAGCCTGTGGGATTCCTCAAGATCCTGTTTTTTCCTCTATGCTATTTAATATCTACATGAAACTTCTGGGAGAGCTTGTCCAGAGTTTTGAGGTTCAGTGTCATCAATATGCAGATGACACCAAACTCTATCTCTCCTTTCCATCTAAATCCAAGGAAGCTGTTTCAATTCTAGATGACTATCTGGTATCAGTAATGGATTGGATTAGGGTGAATAAACTAAAACTTAATTTAGACAAGACAGACAGTATGTTCCTAGTCAGCTGAAAGGTAGATCAAGGAATAGGGATCCAGCCTGTGCCAAATGGAATTATACTCCCTCCCTCCCTCTCTCCTTTTTTAAGAGAAAGGTGAGGTAGAAATATTTTAAACAAATAAATATACAGCCGTTTAACAGTAAGTGTTAATTAGTTCACCTGATCTAAGTATGGAAAAATGTCTCTGTCGAATTCTTTGAAGTAAACAATTTATCAGCCTTTCAAGACACTGATTTAAGTTACAGTATCTAGAGGTCATTCTACACAATGGCTGAAATCCTGTTGTGCAGCTTTGCATGAACAATGGGGATGACATCATCAGTGGCAAATTGCCACTGACTATGCATGATTTGCAGGAGCACACAACTCCTATACATTCCGACAAAGCAGTGTGCACCCTGAAACTGCCGAAGCCTTTAATCAGCAATTTGCTCTTAATGATGTCACAGAGTTGTGCAACAGGACTTCAGCCAATGAGTTTGAAATCTCAGATATATGGTCATTAAACCTGGAGTCAACTTTCTTTACATATACTGTACAGTATTTAGCTTAATTCTGTGAACTGATCAATATTTAAAAATAAAAAAGACTGTAGTAGGCATGGATCTTGAATCTGAGGTTACCATTTCAATGATTACTTGGATTACTAAGGAATTTTAGCTGTAGTAATCCAGAAAACATGTCTTATGTTCTAAATGCATGAGTTTATAAATTATTTGCATAATCTGAAATACACTGAAACAACAACACATTCAGGTTTGTTTAAATCATAATGGTTTCTAGTTACCAGTCTACCTGTAAAAGACATCTGATAATATCAAATATATCATGTAAAATTTTGTGTGATGTTCTAGTGATTTCTACTACACTAACTGGATTATTCCTATGCTGGAGATTAAGAAAAATGTTAAGTTATTTCAAAATTTGAAAGGCATGGATAGCAAAGAAGAAACATCTCTGTTCTCATTAAATTTTTCCTGAATTAACAGCACAAATATGAGTCTTTAAAGTACTGTGACTGTTAGAAATCCAGTGTAACGGCTCATTATAACTGTCATCCTAGGAAGTATGTTTGGTGCTTCAGATAAATTCTTTGTCTAGGAAGGTTTAAATAGTTTTGAAAAACTCATGTCTGCTTTCATAATCTGGAAGAATAGACAGAACTAAATTGGTGGTGCCCTAACACCAGGATGTACAGTAAGTTCCTACTGAATTAACAGTCATACAGAATATATCCCACTACCATCACTACCTGATGCACATTCTGTTACTATAATCTCCTGGACACTCTGGGTTGGCTCACCAACAAACAATGATGAAGTCAGGCATTAGAAAGATCATAATTTTGCTTTTAAAATCATACCTTCTTTACCATCATCATCTAAAAATATACTTCTGTCTGAGCTTTTATTATGGGTTTGATGACTTCTAAGTTTCTCAAAAAGACTATTGGTTTTTAAACTAGTATATTTACAGAAAAAAAGAGATTATTAGAAAATAGTTAGCAACATAGGTCTACCCTGCCTCGCTCATAGTTCACTAACTGAAAAACACAAATATAAAATTTGTGAGATGTTTCAATCTAGAAACAATTGACAGTGAAACCTATACTGTAAATTATGGATGATCTTTGAATTTACGGGTGTTTTGTAAACTATAATTTGTACATTTGTGGTTTTGGTTCAGAGACCTAATACTCTTGTTTTATCCATGTATTCTTCTCACTCTTATTGAACAAGGCCAGTGGAACAACATTTACAAAGCACTGTGCCATTTCTTGCTGAAAGACAGCCCATAGGGTTTCTGTATACACTCTGTTCAATCATCCCATAACTGGTGGATCAGCAGCATCCTGAATTAATAACTGAATGAATAAAAATGGTGACTAAATGATAGAGAAAAATATACACAAACTAATCAGATCAAAACAGTACAATTCTGCAATTCTAGACTTTATGAATGGCAAAAGAAACAAAAGTTCACCACGTAATCAAAATAAAAAACAGGATCATCAGCATATGCTAGGCTGGGTAGAGGAGACTACCTGGCACAGCTTTTCTGAGGGAGTTTTTCAAATCTGAAGTGGGTGAGAACATAGCAAAGTCCTCAGTGGCCCACTATGATAAACTTGAAGGCACTTCAGGGATAAAGTCACTAACAGCTGTGAACTCGATACTGTCACTGAAACTGTTGCAGAGGAAATGTCTACACTTCCACCTAGTCTTGTCCTGTGGAATCAATTGCAGTTGGTATGGATGGAAAAAATTGGAAGAATGCTTGAAGTATGTGACCAACCAAATGGATTCCTGATCACTTCCCTATTGTCTAGTAACAACCAGCTGGGAGTGCTGTGTAGATCTCAGAGCGAATTAATGCTTCCTTAAAAGAAGCAGCCATGCAGCCTTGGAAAAGGTTATCAGTGAGCAATCTCAGTAGGGAAAAGGGCCATTTTATAGGGACTCTTCCAGCTCTGCAGTTCAAATAATTTATTTGTTTTAACTAATGAAGTAGTTATACTGTATACTGTATGGGGTACCCAGTGTGGTGTAATTGATAAGAGTGATGGACAACAACTCAGGAGACATGGTTTTGAATCCCAGCTATGCCACAGAAACTTAATGAGGAAGTGGAACTGGTAAATAATAATTGTGTACCATCCAGTCAATTTTGACTTACGGTGATCCTTTCTAGATGGAGAGTACTCAGAAACGGTTTGTGATTCTCTTCTTCTGGGAATGCCCTGGGACTGTGGAGCTTGCCCAAGGCCACATAGGCTGGCTCTTCAGAAATGCACAGCAGAGAACTGAACTCCCAAACTCTGATTCTACAGTCAGATATCTAACTCATTGAGCTATCTAGTTAAATTCCAATACAGGGCATGGAAACTCATTGGAGAGATAGAACTGGTAAACCACTCCTTAAATATCTCACTTATCCTAAAAGCCCTATCAGGATCACTATAAATTGGTTTTGACTTGATTGCATGTAAAAACATATGTACAACATAGGTCATTACTGTGGGTTTTTGTAAAGGCATCAAAGGGGTTTAAATTTTTAAAAATGCCTTTAGCCACTCTAGTGGAAATATATTTCACTAGAAAATATATTTCACTACTTGCACACTCTAGTGAGTGAATGACATCAGCATAAATGCGCTGATGCCATTCAGAGAGGATAAAGGGCCTTTCCTAGGCAAATGTACATTTCAATCTGGCTTCATGCCTTTGTTTGGAACAGAAAAAAACACCCTGGAAATTCTGACAGATTGGCTTTGTTAGGAATGAAGTGGGGGATTGGAATCCTACTGGCACTCCTTAATCTCTCAGCAACATTTAATACCATCAACCATGGTATCTAAACGGACTGACTTTGAATTGTATGTCAGAAGCATAGTGACAAAATGGCACTACACTTCAAAATCAGATGCTAAAATGAGTACTGGGGGATTTTTGCTCAGTTCAATTGCATCTTGAATTCTGAGGCCACACAAACATTCCACTGTTTTTTAGCATCTGCATGAAACTATTGGGTGACACAAGTGGAAAATATGGAATGAGGTGGCATCAATATATGTTAACATATTGGGCTGGATCCAGATTTCTGCTTAACAGTTTCTTGCCACTGAAAGATACTGTGAAACAGTTACTCTTGCTAATTCCTTCTTCCCACTACAAGTCCTGTGCCTCCTAAAAGTTGCTTGAGGAGGTTAAAGAGACATTCTGAAACAGCATGAGGAGAGATGGAAAACAACAAACAGGCCCTATCTCTTAACCTGCTTGGTGGCACATGTTGAACCTAGGACAAAACTAGAGTAATTACAGTTGAGACAGGTTTTATGTTTATTTGATTCTGCATTTGCCTAGCAAACTATGCCAAAATACTTTTTAAAACTTTTAAATGCCTTTTTCAACTCCCTGAAGGAACTTTGCATTTCAAAGCAGAAATTATGTTAGTATATTTTATTGGTTTTTCAGACACCACAAACTATGGTGATGTTTTACAACTTATCTTAAACACTACTGTCCAGGTAACACTAACAGTGCAATTGTACTCATAGCTACTTGGAATTAAGTGCTTTGATTGAATTGTGTTGTTTCCAGAATGATTACAGGATTGCAGCCTGTAGGCAGAAACCCTCTGTTTACTCTATAATAAACATCTGAAGTTAATTTAAATTTATCTGATAAACCCATACAGCCATTTTGCAGCTCATACTCACCTAATATGCATTCATTATAGTTATTCCCATTCTACAAGCATTTAGAAAAAATCCATTACCCATTGGGGGATTTGTCCAGATACCTGATCAGCAGTTTCAACTGCATTAATGCTGTGGAAAAAGGAAAGGCTTCTGGTATATGCTAATTTAGAATACTGATTTGTCAAGAAGTAAGAGATAGTGGATGTCTTCTTTAGAATAACACCAAGCTGCGTCCTGTGCTGAGCACAGCATC